AAGAACTATTACATAAAATTATAAAGGAGGCTAGAAGGATGGCTCAGCAGGTAAAGACCTTTCCCCACCAAGCCTGACAACCTGAGTTCAATTCCCAGAACCCACATGGTAGAAGAGAATTGACTTACTTACAAAGAAATAAGTGAAAAAAATTAAAAATATAAAGGCATCTCAGCTTTAGAAAGATGGCGAATGGCCAGCAAATGACGATGTTAACTCTGAGGATTAGCCAGAGAGGGATTAAATAATAACCTACTCTTTGTAAGAGGCAATAAAAAAGTTACCTCATAGCTCTTGTCTTTCAATGTCTGTGTGGCGCATGTCTTTAATCCTGGCACATGGGAGACAGAAGCAGGTGGCTCTGTCAACTCAAGGCCAGCCTGATCTACATAGCAATTTGCAGACCTTCCAGGGATACATAGTGAGACCCTGTCTCAAAAAATCTAGCTTAGCATTAGCTGTTGCTATTGCAGTAATAGTGGTTAGCTGAATTAAATAATACAATTGATATACATAGAAAGGTACTGGCATATAATAAGCACTCCAAATTTATCTATTATTCATGTTACCAAATGACTAGGGAAAGAAGACTGACTGCAAAGAACCACCCTTCCATGAACTTAAAATTTAGGGAGACAAAAATAACTTATATTTAACAATCTGTGATCAATTAAGTATAACACTACTCATTAATAGAGTAAAAGAGCTGCAAATTTATAAACTAAATGCTTGGATAGTAAGGCTTTCCTCAGTGACTGACTGATGGAACAGGGTCTCATGCATTCCTGGCTGGCCTTTGAACTCCTACATAGCCAAGAATGACTGAGGTTCTGACCCTCTTGCCCCTGCCTCCCCAGTGCTGGGAGTACAAGTGAGCATGACTACAACCAGTTTACATGGGGGAGATCAAACCAAGGCTTTCCTACATGCTAGACATGTACGGAATAGGTATGCTCTCTATCAACTGAGCCACATCCCTGGCACTCCTCAGTAAAGTACAGAAAACTGCTCATCACACAAGTAATAGAGTTTTCAGCAGGTAATTTTTCTATCAGTCCTTAAATTTAATAGTTCAAATATAATTAATTTCATACTTTTCAGTTATTGCCTAGACACTGAAGATGAAAATTACCACAGTTTCACTAAATGACCAAAATGAGTAATAGAATTTAGAAGGAACCAAATTCTAGGTCAGTGATTTCATGACTAAACAGCACTGGAGTCTCTGGCTTGACATATCACAGTAACTCAGGATAAATATGGTAATTTGAACATATTATTGAAAGGTTCACACTAGGAAACTAAAACTAAAGACATTTGGCACATTCTGATAATCTGGAAACTTTTCCTTCCGAATCTAAATTAAATGTCAATTCAACTTATATTCTATATTTATAAATCTATAATGTCTACCTAGATTCATATGGCTACTTAAAATTTCAACTAAGTTCTTTTAATTTGATGAGTGCCATGCTTTCATGTAAGTGCACTCATGTTGTGCAATGCCCAAGAAGGACAGAAGAGGGATCCCCTGGAACTGGAGTTATGGATAATTGTTAGTCACCATGTGAGTGCTGAGAATTGAACCCAGGTCTTCTGCAAGAGCAGCCAGTGCTCTAAACCACTGAGCTAACTCTCCATTCCCCACTAAGGTTTTTAATGACTGTATAAGAGTTTATCAAAATCTTTCAACCAAGATCCTAAAGAAATTCACTCTCAGACAATCTAAACTCAGAGAATGAAATTTACTTATTTATGGTCTCTTTTTTTTGAGACAAGGTCACCCTGTAGCCACAGCTGGCCTCGAACTCACAGAGATCCACCTGTCTCTGCCTCCCTCCCAAGTGCTGAGACTAAAGGCGTGCACCACCACACCTGGCTTCAGAGAAGGAAATTTAAACTCAACATATGTTTAGGCAAATAACCTATTAATATAATTAATGTCTTACACTTGACTTTGTGACTTGCAAACAGTGGATAATTAGCATTTGCCAAATAAACTTGAAGAACACTCTGATGCAAAAGTCTTTTTTCCTAGCACTACAGTTATGCTATCTGGTTTCAAACTGAGTAGACACAAAGGTTATGAAAGGTTTGTGGGAAGTGGAGAGGAGAGAGGGAGCAGTGTGAGATCTCACATACACTATATAGACTATGCAGAAATAATGCTCCTATTTTTTGAAATCTTTCATCAAAATGCCCAAAATACACTAATAATAGTAGTTATCATCTTAGGAGACAGACTTTGTAAACAGCTTGAAAGTCTGACTCCAAAGCACGCTGTCATTCATTTTGTCAAAATGATGTAATTTCTAAATACTTTCAAGATCCACTTGACAGTATTTCAGTACATTTTATCATATCTAATATCTTCTGAAAATGACATTTATAAATAACAACTTTTATTAACAGATTTCCTACAGATTACACTTTCATTCACAAAATTTAGTCTGTTGCCTCAAGGACTTAGACATTGCCTGAAAAAAATTATAATTATGTTAGAATAGCAGTCCTGGGGAAATACAATATTGGGGCAAACTTTTCTAACATGGAATATAATGATATCTATGGGACTCTGATGTGCCTTGGAGAAGACCACGAACTCACTGAAATACTAAAAAAAAATAAATAAATTATCTTCTTCTGGGAAGAACACAGTGCTCATTTTATTGTACAAGAGGTTGGTGACAATCCACTGCAACCTGAATTTACAACCTGAATTTAGAAACAGGTGCTTATCAGTAGTAGAATGTGTCCAGCATGAGTGAGGGTCCAAATTCACACCCCAGCACCAAAAAAATGAAATGCCAACTACATTTGTAATGACAGAATCCTCAAGAAAGAGTGTTGGCGCTGGAGAGATAGCTCTGATTAAGAGTGTGCATTGCTTTTCCAGAAGACCCAAGTTTGGTTCCCAAACCCATGGGAATGGGGTGGGGGGTGGGGTGTCACCAGGGGTGACCTAATACCTCAGGTCTTTGCATGCATAGGCATGTATTCGTAAGTTATTTTGTCATAACACAAATTATTTTCTAAAGCAGTTTTTTATATCCTTTTCTGGTGATTTTTATACTTTTTTAAGAAAACTAGGTAATTAGCCTTCCATTAGCAGAAAAACATTACCATCTGGTAAGAAAGAAGAAATATTTTCCAGACCTGCTATTGTTCGCCATTTGCAAGGTAACTTAATAATTTAAGTATCACTTTTTCTTGTGGTTTAGCATTTCAGTTTTTAAGACACATGAAATATTTTGGCATTTTAGAAACATAAAATCTCGTATTGTAACATTAGAAACATAAAATATCTTATTGTAACATTAGTGCAAGATCTTAACATTTTTATTAATTTTAACAAAACAGAACATTTAACCACATACCCTATTAGACTCTAGTAAATTAGCCTATAGCAAATAGAAGTCCAGAAGGCCCCTAATCTGAATGCCTGGCTATTACTTATTATATATAAAGTATTGTATTCTCATTTTCCAAGTATTATTTGAGTAGAAACGAAGCAAAACAGACTAGAGCTAGTCTCTGCCATTCCTGAGCACACATACTCAGGAGTGGTAGGTAGTGCAAGGAATCAATCCTGACACTTACTTTTGGCTATTCTCAAGGCCTAAGTCAAGCTCGAAGCTTCATGAGCATATTTCAGTTCTTCTAAGCTTCTTTCTCTGAACATTGTTTCTTCATATATTTCTTTACATGTCTTTTTAGATAGCCTCAGAGCTGTCAAGGATATCTAACTGACCCTGAGCTTACAGAATAAGTACAATTTTTCTCTCGAGTCTGAAAAACAAGAAGACCTAAGTTTCTGTGTACGAACAAATCAATTCAGTGTGTTCAAAAACCACACACACCCACACCCACACCAAGAGAGAGGAAACCAAACATGATGTCTTTTTCCCCCTTAATATTTTGCTCACTTACCCCTTTACTCCAATATGAGCCCAGGTGTGGAGATTAACCTGAAGTAAGTAGCCAATTCTCTTAGCCTATTAACATTTCAAACTTTTAAGGTCAACTTAGCACTATATGTAGAAGGCTGGGCATTGTGGCCCTCATTTTTAGTCCTAGCACTCCCAAGGAAAAAGCAGGGGATTTCTGTGAGTTTGAGGCCAGCCTGATCTACAGCAAGTTCCAGACCAGCCAAGGCTACACAGTGAGATCCTGTCTTTACAAACAAACAAAACAAAGCACAAATAACTCATTTTTAAAAAAACAACTATGTGTACAAATTAAAGCCTTTGCTGCATGTGGAATCACACAACTTTAATCAGAGTTCTGGGCTAGCTGAGGCTACAGGGAGAGACTGTTTCAACAAAACAAAACAAACAATGGGGCTGGAGAGATGGCTCAGCAGTTAAGAGCACTGGCTGCTCTTGCAGAGAATCTAGGTTTGCTTCCCAGCACCCACATGGTGACTAACAACCATCCATAACTCCAGTTATGGGGGTTCCAATGCCCTCTTCTGACCTCCTCCGGCACTGCATGACATGGGTGCACTTCTATACATGCAGGCAAAACACTCATATACATAAAGTTAAAAAAAAAATAAACAAAAAGCAAAGAAGTTAAAGCCTTTGGGGGGCTTTATATGAATTCAGAAATTCAATAAGACAGCAGACCCCTGCCCGTTCTGAGCACCCGCAGTAATATTTCTGTAGTACTGACACAGATAACACAAAGACATGTATAGCTTTAATCTTATATTTTTCTTGGGATATTTATCTATATTTATATGAATATCTAAAGCCTAAGAAAGTATAAAATAAAACTGAGATTTCAAAACCTGCATAGAGGTATATAGTGTATAAAGATGTGACTTGACTATCTGATTTTACAAAAGTATGAGCTAATTGTTTTGCATATTGCTGTTTCTTTATACCTTATTACAGTATACTGATAATGTAAACAACTGCAAAATTTGTTCCGTTTTGATTAAATGACTAAAAATTTTTTAAGACAACTATAAGTTAAATATAAACAGTACACTATTACACAGACAAAAGGGATTTCCCTCCTTTATTAAGTTCTTGTTTTGGAACATATTGATTTAAACTCTTCATAAGAGACATGCCATTAAAAAAAAAAAAAAAAGATCAAAGATGGCTCCCCCAGTGCAGGTCTCTCAGCTCATGAAGCTCAGCTGATACTCCGCCCTGGTCCTCCACCCTGGTCCTCCTCGGCATGGCCTATGAAGCCAAGCGCTACAGTTACCTAAAACCCTGGGCTGAAGAGGAGAGGAGGGTGGCAGTGGAGGAAAAGAAGAGACTGGATGAACTGAAACGGATTGAGAGAGAACGGGCAGAAGCTCAAGATGACTGCATATTTAAGAGAAGCACCAGCGAGCTTGGCTTTCTCCAGACCCCAAGGACGAATAAAGATTTGTCATTGTGTGGTGAAAAAAAAAGATCCATGTTTACTTCTTGCTTCCAATATCCATAATCAATCTTCCTAGATAATCACAAGCAGAGTTAAATGCAAAATTTAGCATACACAATACATCATGACATTTTCCAGAATTTTTTTCCAAATGGTACTTTTTATAAACTGAAATTTCTAATCACATCCAGGATCAGCAAACAGTTGCTAGGTGATAAGGAATTTGAAGCAACTAAATAATCTGGTAAGTCAGCTTTGTAAGTCAAACCTAGTAACCCAAAGTTGAGGTGAAAACTTTAAGTTGGGGTGCTAGGTTATACGCACATACTTGCATAGCCATGTTGTGTTAGATATGGCTTTGTTGTTGTTTGGGAGGAGCCACTTCTGCCAAGATCAATCAAGAGGAATAACAGCAACTTGTTCACTAGGAATTGAGCATATCTTTAAAATTTTAGCAGTATATTTTTCACTTATAGTATGTTTTAATAAATGTTCTATAAACCTGTCAGCTGAAGTCTAAGTAATAATGTCTATTTTGAGAGCAGCAATTATTATTGCCCAAAATAATTCAGAAAAGTTGCAGACTTTGAGGTATTTGCTTGGACTAGAACAGAGAAATTTAAAAATCAGTTCTAAAAAAAGAGACAGCAAATTTTTTCTCCCAAGGCCAAGTTATTAGATTTTTCCTCATATGTTATTTGCGTTTTATATAATTAAGACTATTATGTTTACATTAAACATCTCTAAAATATTTGATTTTTTTGGAAACAATACTTCAGTGAGATGCATTTGTAAAATATCCAATAAGCCATGAACATTATTAACCCTTGCCACATGGAAAGTACAGATATTAGAAGAATACTCACTAAATAAAATGAAAATATTACCTGGTTTCTAAGGCACACAATTATCTACAACATCTAAAGTGGGATTTATTTGATGTACTGCTATAAGTTCTCAGAAAATTTGCTGCAACTCAAGTAGAAATAGGCAAGTATTCACATTAGTCTGCAGTCCAGAAAGGTATTTCAGCTAAAATGTGTCAATCCTCCCACCTGAAACCACTTAGAAATTACTAGTGTTGTGTTTGGAAGAGTTCTGCAGATATTTTAGGTTGGCATTGTGTTCAATGCCTTAGAGGGCTAGGCAAATTCAGTTCTCTTTTGTTCAACAGTGTCTCCTCTCCACTACATAAAACCTGGTCTCCAGTTCCACTATCCAATGCCTGTCTTACTTCACTGTTATCACACAAAGTGATGATATTATAAAAGGCCTCCAGATCACTCTGTTCAAACCTAACAGCTGGTCTCAGTGACCTTCCAGGAGCAAGGGAACTTTCTCCAACAATTCTCAAGTTGATAAATTTGATTTTCCATGTATTTTCCAAAAAAGGACAGCGGATAAGTCCAAAAATTTGTTCAAATATGCCCAAACAAGCATTTCCTCGGTGAACAGTCCCTGCAACTCCAACCATAACTAATCCATGGGGAGAAGAAGCACACTTTAGGCCATGGGAATCAAGGTTGGGGTTGAGAAAAAGAAATTCTTCTTTCACTAGAGACAGCAAACGAAGGCTCACAATTTCTGCTCCATGGTAGTCTAGCACGTTTTGTTCTGAGGTGTTGTAATAAAACCTAAGCTTGACATCATGCCAGAAGTGCTGTGGCCCCCACTCATCTTGAGGTGGTCCCAGAAAAGGGTTCTGAGAATTAAGAAGTTCAAAGAACCAGTGACAGAATTCTTTTCCTAGACGACGAAAATCAACTTTTTCAGCTTTTTTATCTTCTTTTGCCTGCTGATTAAAATAAATATAAAAATTAAAACAAAAACTTATCTCTCATATTTATGTTTCCATCTAACCAATTTCAGAACTAAGTTTTAATGTACTGGTTAGCGCCAAAGAAATCCAAATACATTATGCACAGAAAAACTTTTTTCAAAAAGGGAGGAAATCACTTTAGAATTTTCCAATCTAAACAATTTAAACTTCAATTAAATAAAACTTAACAGGGCCTACACTGGGTACAGTGGCACATAGCTACGAGACCAGCTACTCAGCAGACTGAGATAGAAAGCTTGCTTGAGCACAGGAGTCTAAGACCAGCCTGGATAGCATAGGCAGACTCTCATCACTTTTTTCCTTGCTAGGTTTGCACTCAAACCCAGGATGTGATACCTCCCCTAGACCTCCTGCTTTTGCTTCTTCTAAGAAAGGGTCTCACTATGTATCCAAGACTGGCCTGAAATTTGCAATCACCCTGCCTCTACCTTCTGTGTGCTGAGATTACACAAATGTACCATTCAGCTTATTTATATATCCTGGCTCTTCAAAAACAATTATAAAATAGTAATACAGGAATATTACTTGCAATGCTCATGAATTTGGTCTTAAATGAAATAGGCAATTCTTAAGACAAAACTCAGAAATAAAGTCCCTGAAAATATCAACATGAACAGTTAATGACAATGGTTTAACTAATCATTCTTTCTTTTTTGACACTGGTTCTCAGCCTTGGATGGTCTGAAACTCACTATGTACACCAGGCTGCCCTGACCTCACAGAGATCCCCTGCCTCTGCCTCCTGAGTGCTGAGATTAAAGGCATGCACTGCCAAGCCTGGCTAATTTTCTGGCTGTAGCCTTCACAAGGTAAACATCTGTCAAAACTTTGAAAGAGTTCCTTCATATGGATTCTTCATTGCATTGTAAATTAAATCCCAGTAAAGTTGATAATAAAAATAAGAAAAAACCTGGAATAATCTATGAAAGTGATGAGGAACTTGTAAACTTGTCCAAAATCAACATAAATAAATTCTATTGCAAAGTACTTAAGCTCTTGTCAGGCATGGTATCTGTTCTTTCATGAGAAGGTTCTTTAAAAAACAAGAGTGTGCTGTCAGAATTTTTTTTTTTAAATTCCTTTCTACTTTCTTTAGACAAATACTTCTAAGGTGATTGAATTTGGTTATTTTCTGAGATTGGAATTAATTTTGTATTATTAATTTTTAATAAAAGGAAATGTTACAATAAAAACATACCTGATAAACTAGATCTCGTTTATGTATTTCAGAACACAGTACCTCATTAAGAATAAGGCATGTTTACTCAGAACCTGCAGGTGAGTTAACTGGACACAGCACATGACATCTTCAGCACATTCGCCCCTATCTTCACTTAGCCTGATGATATGTTATGTTTTGTTTTGTCAGTGCTGGAGATTGTACCCATGGCCTCACACAAGCCACTCTCTACCACTGAGTTATATACACAATAGTCTGGTTATGATTATTTTCTAGATTAAGACAACAATCAGAAGTCAAGCTATTTCCCTAAGCTCAAATACCTAGTATACAGCAAACCTTAATTAAAAATGTCACCCATATGATTTCAAAGTTGATTTTCTTCTTAGTACATTAAATAAGATCTTGAAATGCCCTTTCCTACTGTGAAGGCAAAGTAATTATCCAGAGTTCAATCAACATTTAAACACTCAGTATCTAACTAACAGGAAAACACACACACACACACACACACACACACACACACACACAAAGAGCAGCCAGTATCAAGTAATGAAAAAGCAGTACATGATTTTTTTAGTTAAAATTTTACATTTTGGGGGAGCTGGAGAGATGGCACAGTGGTTAAGAGCACTGATTGCTCTTGCAGAGGACCCGGGTTCAATTCCCAGCACCCACATGGCGGCTACAAACCATCCTTAACTCCAGTTCCAGGGCAATCTGAAGCCCTCTTTTGACCTCTGTGGAATTGCATGACACAGGTGCATTCACATACATGTAGGCAATATATTCATACACATAAAAATAATGAATAAAATGGGGCTGGAGAGATGGCTGAGCTGTTAAGTACACTGGTTCTTCTTGCAGACCTGGGTTCAAGTCCCAGCACCCACATGGCAGCTAACAACTGTCCTAACTCCAGTCCCAGGGGAATGACAGCCTCTTCTGACCTCTGAGGGCATTGCACAACATTGGTGCACTTACCTGCATGAAACATAAAAAAATAATAAATAAAATTTTTTTTTAAATTTTTAAATTTTGGGGAGGCTGGTGAGATGGCTCAGTTGAGGTACTTAGTGCCAGGCCTAACGAACTAAGTTTGATTCCCAGGACCCACATGGAAGAAAGAGATAAATGACTCCTGCAAGTTGTCCTCTGACCTCCACCTGTGTGTAGACAGACACACACTATAAAAAAACAAAATGTTAAAAAATTTTAAATTTCTAACATGAAAATTTTGCATAGCTATCAAAGACAGTAGAACAAAATGAGAAATTTACAATAGCTTTCTTTTAAAAACATGAGAACTACAGCTTCAATTAAAATGAAATTATTCTTACAATTTATTTTCTAAACATACAATAGTTTTCCATTGAAGAATAAGGAAAACACTTCATCCCTGTAACTACTCCTATAATTCAATAGGTTTTATACACATCACTACGTATCAGAAGTATTTGTGTTCAAGTCACTTTAGTAGTCCTTTAGGAGACAAAGGAGGTAAAAACTAGAAAATACAAGTATTATTAACCACGCACCCTCAAATCTAGGAGATCTAGGGTTATGTGCAGAGTTTAGGACAGTAAAGGTTCACCTGTTGAAAGAGTTGGATATCCTCTGTCTTTGTAACTGGCTCTGGTGTTTCCTCCAGTTTTGGTGACTGTTTTTCCCAGTAATCTTTTGCATGCTGAATAAGATTGTGTTTTTCAGTAGTTGGAGGTAAAACAACCCCCTGTGCTGCCAAGTACTTAAATATGACTTCTCGGTGGACTTTTTTGCGCCTCAGAAGTTCTTCTACACTTTGGCTATACACTAATATTGCATGAATAGCATCTAGAAGAAAATAGAATAATTAATAGAAAGTCATGGCATTTGTAAAGTTGTCCAACATCAGCAAAAATTCTATTGAAAAATATTTAAGCTGTCATAATACTTGTTCTTGCATAAGATGGTTATAATTTTTAAAAAACAGGAGTGGTTTGTCAGGTTTTTATTTTGATTTCTTTATGCTTTAAACTTCCCTCACCTAAAAAAAAATACTTCTTTCACTTTACATAAGTGATAGTAAAATTCTAGCTCACTCCTTTAAAGAACTGTTTTAAGAAAAAAAAAAAAGTGAACCAGAAAAATTATTTTATTTCTAAGTCTCAAATATCTAAAAATTAAAATTACAGATTTGAGATGTCAAGGAATGTTAACTTGATGTAGCTAAATGGAATATTTAAGGAAAATATGGATTTTAATCCTTTTCTCCCTCTGACTCTGTCAGCAAATGTCAGCTGATAAATTTGTGGTTAGAATGCACACAGCTAACTAGAACCACTGGCCTTGTATCCTGATGAAACTTCAATTGTTTGTTTCAGATGGAGACTTCTGCAGTGATTTTCAGACAGAAGATTTTTTTTAATGTTTGCTTTCTTTCTAAATTTATAACAATTTGCCTAATTTTGAGACTACACATGTTTCTTTCTCATTATAATTTACTGCCTAAGATTTAAAAAAAGAATATTTCCTCTTTACCAGGTCCAGACTTGGAGGCTTAAGTCCTCCTCTAGGCCAGGCTGCAGGCTAAGAAAACCTGCTTCCTGCTTCTCTTGGTGTCTCATCTGTCCACAACCCAAACTCCTAATTCTACATAAAAGGAAAGTTGTGAAGTGGCAGAATCAGAATTTTGTTTTTTTTTTTTAATTAAAAAAATTGCAAAGAAAACACAGACCAAACTATATTTCTCATATATATGAGTCATGTGGAATGGCAAAAAATGCACTCCTATACACACCTTCTAAACACCGTAATCCATACACTATACTAGTACCTTTAAGGTCCCTACTTCAAACCTCCCCAATGCTATTCTCCTCTTTCCACCCTGAGTAACTACACTAGAATTTTTTTTTTTTTTGTCATTTCTATCCTTTTCTTTACAAGTTATACAGTATATGCATTTTGGGTAAGGATTTTTTGAATGTTTTACACGTTCTACATACACATTCTTTGTGTTTTATAGACAATTTTAAAAAATCTGATTCCGTAACTTCTCAACTACGGTTATCTATTGAATAGGATGAGTTAACATTCCCTGGCATCAAGAGACAGACAGACAGACAGTCAGAAGTCCACAAAATGTGTTTATGATCTCCCGTGCAGGCTTGGAGGAAACACTGAGTAGAGTCATGAGTCTTCAGCTGATCGATCCTGAAAATGGAAAATACTGGTTCCCTGGAAATCATGAAGAATGTCCACGAATGTGCTTGTATCCTCAAGCCCACAGGCTTCTCCAGGAACCAGAAAACGACGATCACCAGAGGAGTTTCTTTGGAGCGGGCTCCTGCGCGGTGGATGCAGAGCTGCCTGAGAGAACTTCTCGAGCATTCTGCCCCAGCGAGAGCAGAGCCAGGCACGGCCGGAACCGCAGCCTTCACCCCACCACGCTCGCCACTCTGAGGCTGCAGGGTCGGCGCCTACCTTGTCGGTCCTCAGGCTGCACCAGGCGGTTGGTGACTGTGTCGCACAGGGCCATGATCTCGTCATTGTCCAGCAGGCCGAGCAGGTTACGGCAGCCCTCCATCTCTTCGTGGCTGAGCCCCGACATGTCGCCCCCAGGCCAGGGGTCAGAGGACGATGCCAACAGTGTCACCCTCTCGGCCCGCGGGCCGGCTGGCGCCTTGGCAACAGACACCGGAAGCGCCTTTCCAGTCGCTAGTACGGAAGGGTTTCAGACATTCCAGGCCCCTGAGCGGAAGTAGTCGCTGCGGAGGAAGTCGCTGCAAGGAAACGCAGTGCTCCCGATTTGTGGTTCCGGGCTGACTCGGAGCAGAGTTCCGCGGCTCTGTCTTAAAGGAAGAGTCTTGAGCCTCCACCTACCTCGGGACGGCGGGTTAGAAATAAATCCTTCTGGACGCCCTGTGAAAGAGTGCCTCCGCGCAGATCGTGCGCAGGCGTGGATGTTTGAAGGCGGAGGGGAGGCGCCGGAGGCTGGCGATCTCCTGACTTGCCCCGCAGCGGGGAGGCGGAGGCGCCCTCCCCAGCGCCCGCCAATGACCGAAAAATCTGTCCCCTCTAGCCACTTCTGAGTTAGGTGAGCCGGCACCTTGATGTTCTTAAGCTACATATATTAAAAAAGTTTTAAACATACATAAAATGAATGATAATTCGTTTATTCACTATCTGTCACTTGCCAACCTTCCATGACTTTGTAATTGAGCCCAAGGGTGAGGTGGTGGAACACAGTTTGTAGCTGATGGGTTAAAAGTACAAGCGAAACAACCCTAGACTTCAGACTTTCGTCTAACGTGGTGCCGGGTCGGGTGGCACACAGACTTGGAACTGAGTCTCTGAGGCGAGACCTGATGCTACTAGTTTTGAATGGAAGGACAACTGCCCTGTGGCTACCAATACTGAATTAGTTGCTTGGATGGTCTGAGAGGAAACACATACACAAACACACACCTCATGTCCAAAGTGATTTGTGCTGTAAGTATAGGAGAAACTGAGTTTGGGTTAAGAGTTTTTCCTAAGTACAGCACTGCTGATATTTTGGCAGGATCATTCACTGTGGAAGTTCACTTCTGCAGTGTAGGATGCTACTTTCCATGCACAAGGTGCCAGTAGTACTCTTCTTCTCCCTTAAGGCAAGTGAAAAGACCTCCAGACTGTCAGATGTTGCCAGGGAAGCAAAATCACCCCAACCACTGATATTTTAAAAAAAAAGAAACAAAAAAATCTGCCCAAAGGCTGAAGTGATGAAAATATTTTTGTACTGCTCAACACAGTAACCACAGTAACATGTGGCTTTTAAGATCTTGAAATGTGACTAGTACAACTGAGGAACTGAATTTCAAATGCTAGAATTTGAATTGTTTTTTAATTTCCACATGTTGGCTAGTAGATACTGTTTTGGATCTGAAGATCTGTTGGCCATTATGTAGGCTTTATCTGTAATACTTGACCTCTGACTTAGTTCTTATTGTCAGTCCGCTCTTTTTATTGTCAGTTTCTCCACTTACTCACAAGGGGCTCCTTTCATTGATACATTCAACTTGTATTACAGGCATCTGCTTCAAAGCCTTTGTTCTTGCTATTTTTTGAGCTAGTCTTCCCTTCAAAACTCTGAGTAGCTCATTTTTCTATTGTTTATTCAGGTTCCTACCTAAAAGTAACCTTATGAGGCCTTCTTGCATCACACGTCAAATACACGACCAACACCCAGCTTGTTTCCTACCCACTTCATTTGTCTCCAAAGTATAATTTAAATTAGTATAGTGTATTGTTTATTGCTCCCACCTCACCCCCATTAGGTGATTTCTGAGGCAATGAATTTTTATTGCTGTTCCATTACCTGTTACAAAGCCTGGCACATAGTAGGTATAGGTGAATAATTATTTTAAATAAACATAAGTTGTGAAGCCACTGAAGGAATGAAATGATCAGATTTGTTTCAAACAGGATCACCTATGACTGACAGTGTAAAGGGTAGATTGAAGGAAGAGGAAAAGAGAGCCCAATTGAGACACTATAATTAGGGAAAGAAGATGGTACCTTAAGTTAGAGCAGAGGGTCGGATAGGCTTCAGTGACTACATTTTGGTTTGGACCACCAGAGTTGCGATTTACTGGGGAAGGGAACACTGGATAAAGTAGGTTTTAGGGGAGAAATAATAGTAATCAAGAGATCGAACTTTTTGGAACAAGTGACAATGCCTCATAAAGATTAATCAAAGATGGAGAGGTAGGGCAGGAAGACGGTGCTGAGTTAATTGTAAAGGGAGCAGTGGTGAAAAAATGTATGCAGAAAAAGTATGGACGCAGGTAGAATTTTTGCTGAGACAAGATACTAACCATAATAAATTTAGCAAAAACACGAGCGAGAGGGCTTGGCATCAGACCCTACACATAATTCTTAAAACCCCGCAAGAATAGTTGTCTGTTTTACAGATAGCTGAACTCAGTAGGATATTCTTAGTTGCTTAGATTTCCACAATAAAACCATTCTAGAGTTTGAGCACAGTAAACTTATCTCCATACCCTTTCAGCTGTTTCTAGTAACTCTACTGAATACTGTTTGTAAAATGTGAAAGACATATACATTCTGAAGAGACACCAGAGTATACTCAATTTTTTAAAACATAAATCGAAATTCTCTAGATTAGAACACCTGAACAGCTTTAGGTATTAGAGCTAAGATATCTGTTCAACTAACAGTAGTTAAGTGCCTACCAATGGGAGACTTCATATGTCCTAGAAAGCTTCTGAGAAGGCTCTGAATTTAAAGGGAGTTTACCTTCTAGGGAAAATTATTCATTACATTGTTTTAGATCTAGTTTTTAAACCTTGCCTTAGCTTTCAGATTTACCTCAAAAATTTGTTATATAACAAATTGGTCTTCAACCTAATATTTGGCATTTCTAACCAGTTTCAAGGTGATGATGATTCTGCCACTCCATGGACCACTTTTAAGAATCACTGCCCCAGAAATCATTGATCCTCAGGCAAGTTTGGCCCTAATTTGGATAGGCAGCATTCACATGTCTGTAGGGAAAGTTGCATGGCTGAATGGAAACATGATTTTAGGACACATCCAAACTTCAATCGGTTAACCTTTCTCTTTGGTATCTGAAGAGCAGTGTTCATATTAACTTGAATTGTTTTAACAATCAGAAATGAAAGAAAGTTAGCACAGGTGACTTGGTAAAGCAGAGACATTTTTTTCCCGTTTGTACCATCCATCAATAAGAGACAAACGATTTTAAAATTCATGTAATAAAATTGGGATAGGCCAGTTGAAAATCTTGATATAGAGCCCGAACTTATCCTTGTAGGTATGAAATTTTATGCTGTGTCTAGGTATGGATATGGTTTGAGAATGTTCCTCAAAAGTTCACATGGTAGGAGCTTAATCCATAATTAGTATACTGAGGAAAAGACATTATGTGATCAGATTATTAACCCTTGAGAGGTATTTTAGTTTTTGAAGGACTGTGTTGGCCCGTGTGGGCTTGTTGAAGAACCTGGTTCCTCCCCATTCTTGCTTCCTTGTTGGCACAAATATCTTTTCTGTGCCATCTTTCTGCTTTTCTAACCATGCTGTGATAAAGCTGGGGGGGGGCAGCATGCTTTTTAGATTTTCTAGCTCCCAACTGTGAGCTGAATTAACTTTTTATACATTATCTATGTCAAGTATTGTAGGAACACAAAACAGACTGAAACACTATCAAAACTTACTTTGACTTTCTTGGACGTACACTCAATAATATTATTTCCAGAATTCCAGTTCCAGAAAAGGAGAATTGGTTATCTGAATCCTAATAGCTTGCCTAAAAGCCTTAATGGATTATTCTGAAAAGGAATCACATTTAATCTAAGATCTTAAGATCCTAAGTCAGAGAATTTTGGATCTCAGTGCTAGAAATTCAGTAACGTTGTTTCCAGTTGTGATATGCAAATCACTTTAAGCCATTATCTATTCTTTCACTTGCAGTACTACCTCATTGCTTTAAAGATTTTTTTAACCTGTATCTCATTTTTCAAGTGTGTATGTGTTATAGCTAATACTGCAGGGGTTGTACTGTTACTGAACCAAAAAACAAGCCCTCATGCTCAAGAACTTCATTTTTTACTACAAATAAGTTTTCATTATAGTTTGTTTTTTAATGCTGGGATGAAAACAGAGTCTCATGCATGCCAAGCATGCCCTCACCCCTGAACTTCACCCTTAACCTTCTTTTTAAAAGAAATGGGGTATGTATTGCCCAAACTTCTGAGCTCAAGTAGTCCTGCCCCAGCTCCCAGAGTGCCTGGGACAGGGTGTTTCCCAGTCAGCCCAATCCTAATATTTTTTGGGGGGTTGGAGTGGGGTATTTGTTCTGTGTTATGCTGTGCTTTGCTTTGAGACAGGGTCTCCCTGTAAGCCCAACTGACCTGGAACTTGCTATATAGACCAGGATGGCCTTGATCTAGCAGAGATCTACCTGCCTCTGCCTCCCGAGTGCTAGGATTAAAGGCCTGTGTTACCATGCCTGGAGTGCCTTCCTGTAAATTCCATAGGAAGCTCTTCACGTTTTAAGAATTACAAATACATATCAATGTATTCATTGTCTTACTTTTGGTGAGTTCTAACATTTATTTTGCCACAAATCTGCACACTTTAGTATTCTGTCACACTTTACCTGTACCTGCAATGATTTTAGTAACAAGAATTCTATCCACTCTTAATTCCTGCATCTGGATATTACTTAAACAACAACAAAGCTGCTTCAAAATTTTTTCTATCATGTTTAAAAAGGTATCCAATAATCTGAATAAGTAATAACACTAACTGAAATACTCCACTCTTTTATGAGGTTTGAAAATTTCTCATTTAATATATACCTTAAATAAGCTGAGTTCTTCTTGAAATTAGTGCACTACATAAAATTGAACACTTGCATTATCAACAAGGACAATGTTTTATTGAACAAATCTATGTACAATACAAAAAACTTCTTGAAATGAGACACTATTGTTGATTTATTGCAGTTCAATGGCTCAGTTTTAATTGTACTTTTATAAAATGCAAAGTAAAATAATTTAATGTTCAACAAGGAAGCACAGATTTCCTTTCTTGCTGAATCTGTAGTATCTTTCACATAGTAACAATTCCAAAATGCACTCGCAGCATTTGCTCATTCTGAAAAGGTGTTTTACAGTACCAAATAAATTAAAAATAAACACTATCATACCTTTTCGGTTTTTCATTCATACAACAGTATTACCAAACATGAAAATACGGCTGAATGTTCAGTGTGATTTGGAAAGAATCACAAATTCAATGATATAAATTATGTATTCATTATCTAACTGGTGGTTTTTAAAAATTGAGTATGGCTAGAGCCCAAAGTACCAGTGTCCTTGTCCACAGAGTCAGTCCCCTTTTCTACATCTTTATCTGAGCAGCAAGAATTCAGATTTGCTCTTTTCTTGATCTCACTGACACATAGCAGAAATTTAATATTTTATTTTTTGAAGGAATTTCTGTTTTAAAACAAAGATTGAAGCTTGGTCCATATATCCTCAAAACAGAAGTAGAAAAGAAAGAGAAACGGAATCTGAATAAAAAGAAAGCTTCCTTCTCTTCTGAATCCCAAATTAGAATGATACAGGCTTATATTTTAGAAGACAGCCAAAATAAAATATATAAATTCTTTCAATAGTCATTATTTGAGAAGTATTTAGGGCAATGTGGTCAAAGAGAATCTTATATTTTAATTTAGTTATATCTAAACCAATTTGATCTTTATCAGAAAACTTCCTGCTAGGAACACAAAAGTAGTGATAAAAGCTTCAAATTAAGCTTAAAGACAAAATAAAAGTGGAATATGATTAAAACATCTTAGCATAAACTTTAAAATTCGTGAAAATGTTAACACTTTATGGAATTATATTTATGTCAGAAGTTACAACTTGTAAAAAGTAAAGTTAAAAATGGTAAAATGTTATTTTAAACTCCAGGAAAATGTACAAAGTAGAAATTATATTTCAAAAAAACTTCATTGTCCAAATGAACCAGTTTCCAAACAGACTTTTTATTACAAGATATACTTTTAGAATGAACTGAAATAAATGTCAATTATTACATTTTTAGTAACAGAAAATGTGGAAAACATTTTGAGTTGACCTTAAAGGACTTTAAAACTTGATGAACTGTACTTATGTTATCTACATGTAAATTCCACAGCCTAACGTAGGCTACATAACAAAGACAAATTTGAATTTGATTGGAATGGACGTCTGACCATTACTGCATAGCTGCAAATGCCCAGGATCAATAATAAAACTGAGACTTATTTTAAATTCTCTGATACACCATGACTAGACATCATAATTCTATGAAGTCTGGAGCCACCCTGGAGGAAATATCCCATTTCCTTAACCTCACTCAAAAAGCTCTAATGTTCCTAAAATTCTCTTAATAGTGGGGTATGATGAGACTATATGCTTTAAACAAAAACACTAGATGGAATAACTGGAATATTTGCTTGAGAGTGGTATATTCACGTCTGCTCTTAAAGAATTCACTTTTGCATTTTCTTTTATCTCACTTTAGACTAATATACCATTAAAGGAGATCTTTAATCATCTTCTTTTCAATAGTAGGTGAGAAACATGTAGAGGATATTTTTAAAAACTGTAATATTTATTCTTTTAATAATAAGTTAAAATCTTCAGAAAATTATTGGTCACCAAGGAAAATAATGTTATTAAATCTCTTATTGTGTTCCTATTGTGCAGATTTTGGTGTAAATACTTCTTTAAATATAAAACTTACTATTCAGGCCAAATTCATCACTAATGAATAAAATACATGAGTAATATGGCTTACTTTGGAATTTTCCTAACTGAATAAAATGAACTCTCAACCTGATTCTTAGCTGTCAGACTTTTAAGCCAATTATTTTTATAGGACTATACTTAGATAACTCACACTAATGTCTAAAGGACCTTACTATGAATCATCAAGCAGTGTCCCAATACTATATACAAATAGAAATATCCCAGTGTGCTTTTACTATCATTCACATTGAAGAATTTGCAATTCAGTGTCTTCCTTCGACTATAAACCTGTCATGGTCTTAGATTATCTCTCCAAAGTAACCACACTTACCTACTTAACACTGCTGCATTTTAAATACAACTAACTTGTATTACAAAAGTGGAAAGCTGAAGGTTCTTATCAAGAGCTTATTGGTCAAACAATTGTTTTTGTTTTGTTGTTTGGTTTTTAAATTTTCAATGGTGGCATGCCATTCACTGAACTTTGACCTGTCTAATTAACCATTTGGAAACAAGTTACAATCTGTAGTAGATAACATGGTGATAAATCAAGCATTATTTCTATGTATCAGCTTCTAAATTATATCACAAACTAAAGAGCAATGGTTTCTTAAAATATGTCTGATCAGAAGGGAAAACAGAATTTGACTATGCAGGACAAGAAAACAAATCCCATTTTAGAATGCTTAACATCGTTTATTATAAACCAGTTCCCACTCCACCTCCTATCTTATAATGCATTAACTTTTTCCTTTCAGTAAGGCCATAGCTGGTTTTTCCTTCTGACTAAATGCCCAAACATGTTTTCATAAGCAAAACTGAACATGCTGCTATTAAGCATCATAAACTTTTTAAAGAATGTGGTTTTCTGGATAACTGGTACTTTGGGAGTTTTATAACCCTTTTGGAGTCAAAGCCAGCACATCTCCTCTGCAAGTTCCAGAAAATGTGCTTTGTCTTTATCTTTAGTAATCCGAGACCACTCTAAAATTAAGGCCATCAGGGAAATAGCAAACTGATGATGCATTTTTCATGTAGTGCTTTTTCTCACACTACTGCATGATCAACAGATCTGCGACATTTTTATCAGGCACCTGTAAAATAAAATATATGTTAATTCAAATTTTAAAGATAGATTGTTCGATGGCAATTTTAAGTCAGATTTCTTTTTAATTTATATCTTCATTCAAAAGATACTGACATTAGTAGAAAAGCAAGATTTTGTGCCTTGTGCTTTTGAATTATTTTACTTATATTTTTGTGTATGTGTCTGTGTGTGTGGTCTGTGTATATGTATGCATGTTTCCCTATGTTGGGGCACTACTGCTCAGGTGCATGTGGAGGCCAGAGGTTGAGGCTGATCTCTTCCTCCATTCCTCTCCACTTTATGCATATAGGCAGGATCTCTCACTGGAACTCAGAGCTCACAGTTCACCTAGTTGAGCTAGCCAGCTTGCTACAGGATCCAATCTCTGCATCTTGCATGCTGGCATTACAGGAGTCTCACTATACCTGTCCAGCATTTACAGGGTGCTGGGAATCTTAACTCCAGTCCTCATGACTGCACAGGAAGTGCTCTTACCTGAGGAGCCCTCTCTCCAGCCTCTTTACTTCTATTGACAGGCTCAGTTTCACCTGTTTTATATTTTAGCATGCTACTGAAAATCATTTGCATACAAATTACTGTTTCTAAAATGTCTATTATATGAAACTTAAAATGAAGAAAAGCGTCTAGTATAGAAAAAGTAGAAACAAGAGCAAAAAATCTTCAAGTTCCAGCTTCCACAAGTTCACAAGCCTATGCAAAGTGTTTTTGAATTTGTTGGTCTATAAAACTAGAAATATTAATATCACCTGAGTGATTCTGGATTTAAAGAAAATATGTGGAATAGTGCTTTACCATTTGTGTTATACAAATATTAATGATTTTAGTATCACAAAGATACATTATGGCCATGTTTAGGGCATCTTCTATTTTTACAGATATAACTATTAAAAACACTGAAGACTTACTTTCATCATCTGAATCAAATCCAAAGAGTGTCTGACATTTCTTTTGTGCAAGGTGAGCCTCAAGTGCTTCTGCATTACAGTAGGTGGTCAGGCATTTGCCACATCTTAATCTTTTCATTGATTTTTTATAAATGCTGTCCTGATCAGAACAGGCATCTACTCGATCAGTCAGAAATTTTCTGCGTTTTGGCATACTAAGGTACCGTTCATCAAGATAACTGGGAGGCAATGGTCTGACATATGGCTTTGTTAAAATTACACCATATGAAGTATGTTCACTTGTAAGATTTGGTTTGGATGGTGCCTGAGATACTGGCAGGGTATTAGGTTCTTGTGGTACAACACTGGGTAAAATAGACCCATTTTCTGTCCTGTTTCTGTTTGTATCAGTTTTCAGAGCAGGATCTGATGCGACTAAAGGTATTTGCTCTGTTTCACTATGTCCATTTACTAAATCACTAGTACAATGACTATTTTCAGGGTTTGGCTCTATATCAGGCATCTTTTGGTCTATCAAGCTTTGATTTGAAACAGTTCCATCAGAATGCTCATTTCCATTCTGAACTAAACTGTCTATTTTCTTTCCCATAGTTTCTATATATGTCTTTGGTTCTGTAGACTCTTTCCTTGATTTGCTAGTAGAAACTGGCTGATCAATAGTTAGTTTGTCATTACTAGATGAGTCTATTTCCTGATGATTAGGATTTGAGTCTGTGTGAACATCTAAAAGAATTGCTTCACTTGGTTGTTTAGATGATTCTGGTGTTTTGCTTAAGTAATGCTGAGCCTCATGTTCATATAACAAAGGAAGATCTTCAAAAAGCTCATGGCATTCTGGAAAACTACATTGAGCTTGAAATATCCTGTGACTTTTTGTATGCTGGGCAAGCTGGAATGGTAGCTTAAATGACTCATTGCAATTAAAATGCAAACAAAAGTACACATTTGGATAGCTGTGTCTATTAAGATGATCAATAAAATGCTGCGAATCTTCAAATTGCCTCTGGCAAAATTTGCATTTTCCTTTGCTCCACTTCATTACTGTTTGTCGCACATTTATATCAGTTGGATGTACAGTCCTTGCGTGTGTATTTAAAAATCCAATTCTCTTAAATATTCTGACACAGCCAAGAGCAGGGCACTTGAAGTTTCCTTCTTGATCTGTAGCATATACATCTTTTGGATGGCACACAGTTCCATTGACTTTATGAAGTACTGACGTGTCTTGATTCAGGTCATAATCATCTTCATAATCACCTTCCTTCTCTTCCTCCTCATAGTCATCCTCACATTGAGGTAAAGGTTCTGGGACATTCTTTAAAGAAGTGTCTGGTCTGCCATTTTCAATGATGTTTTCAATAGTAGCCTCTGGTATACCAATAGGAATATCAACAAATTCAACCATGTGTTCGTGGATGACCTCCTTGTTGCCATCACTGGAAGCAGTCAACATCTCTACTTCTAAACCCTTATTGTTAGAATTTCCATTTTCAAAGGAAATGGAAGACTTGGAACATTTTATCTCTTCCAAAGTGATGACTTCTGGATCATCCTGTTGCGCTGTAGCAATCTGCTGTCTCTGGATCTTCTTAACATGATTCTTTAAATGCTTCTGCATAAGTCCTCTGTTCCTAAACTTCCTACCACATATTACACATGAGAAGCTTCCTTTTTTCTGATGAGCCTGGGCATGCCTTACAATGTGACCACCAAGAAATTCCTTGTTACATAACACACAGCGATGCCTTGGGACATTGTGATCCACTTTGGAAACGTTAAGAGCAGTGAGGCTTTTCCTTGAGTTAACATGACCTTTAGGTTGCACTCTAGACATATCATCAGGATCAGTCTCTCCAGTACTCTGATCTGTGAGCGTGTCAAGCCTTTCATACAAATATTGCTGTTCCACGGTCTTTTTTAGATTACCTGCTGTATTTTCCAGTGTACTTTCATTTAGCAATCTTACTGCTGATTTATCTCTCAGTAATGCCACACAGTTCTTCTTAATCATTACAAAGTTCCAAAATTCAGGATCAAAAAATAATCCCTTTTTCAAAATTGGAAGTAATTCAAAGCGAACACGATTTTGAACACTACTTGTGCCCTCATTATATTCTTCATCTGGGCGTTTGTAAAGCTCTTCAACAGTGTGATAAGCATCTAAGGAACGCTCAAGAAAAAATATTGAGAGGGCACAAATCCTGAGGATTTCTAGATCATTTGGCAAAAAATGTGCAATTGTTTTATAAATTAGACATTTAGTTTTAGGATCATCATGAAGATCAAGCTGTAGGGCACAACCACATATTTCAACACAAATTTGCAAACCTTCTTCTTCAACCTGAAAAACAAAAACATGCCTACTAAATATATATTTTAAAAGGCATTATACTAATTGCTTTACTTTTTTAAAATACAACTTCAAAAGGAAAACCTTGAGCACACACTATTCCAATGTGTAGGAAATTCTACTGCAATTCAATAGGCAGGTTTGTTGAATGTTTTTTTTTTTTTGTTCTTTTGAGACAAGGTCTCCCTGTAGCCTCAGCTGGCCTAGAACTCGCTATAAACCAGGGTGGACTTGAACTCATAGAGAGCCGCCTCTGCCTCCTGAAATGGCATCAAAGGTGTGTGCCACCATGCCTGGCTTAACTCATAGACAGAGATAGATAGATGATAGATATAGATAGATAGATGATGGATGGATGATTAGATGATAGATAGATAGATGATGGATGGATGATTAGATGATAGATTAGATAGATAGATAGATGATAGACAGATGATAGATAAGATGGATGGATGGATGGATAGATGATAGACAGATAGATGATAGATAGATAGATGATAGATAGATAGATAGATTAGATAGACAGATAGATAGATAGATAGATAGAAAGAAAACCTGGAATAGATATATTTAATTCTCAAGTTTTATAAAACCTACTAGCCACAATACAAAATGCTTTGCAAACTTATGATTAAAATTTCTTACAAATCTAGGCTCACTTTAGGTACCATTTTCATATCATATTCTTCATCAGAAGGATTATCATATATAAATTTTATGTTTTTATTTTATTTAAATAGGGGAAAGCATGAACACAGTCTGACACTACTACAAGTTATCCAATTTCCCACATTTGGAGACATCACAGGAGTCAGCATATCCAAAGTGCAATGGATAAGCCTCACCCTGGGAAAACCACCTCATGCTCATGGCATCTCTTCTGTCACGTTAAGTATAACATGTAATTTAATATTTTAAATTTACTTTTATTTTATGTGTATGAGTGTATTGCCTGCATGTATGTAAGTATACCCATGTGGTGCAAGCCCTCAGAGGTCAGAAGAGGGCATTAGCTCCCCCTGGAACTGGAGTTACAGGTGGCTGTTAGCTGCCATGTGGGTGCTAGGAACTGACCCTGAGTCCACTGCAAGAGCAGCCAGTGCTCTTAACCACTGAGCCATCTCCCTAGCCCCAACATACATTTTTAAACAGATGCTAAGAAGTAATGAAAAAAGAACTACTGTGGAAAAATTTTCATATTAAGTAATATCTAGATTACTGGTAATATTATTGTTATTATTTTGGTGCTGGAGATTGAAAACAAGAATTTATGTTTGCTGGCCATGTACTCTAGCACTGAGCTACACTCCTATTACCATCCCCCCTTGCACTACTGTTTATACAAATATGAAGGAGCATGATACATGAAGAGAGAAGCCATAGTGTTGCAGCTCTAATAAAGTATAAGAATAATAAGCCTGGGACTATAGCAATGGCTTGGTGGTTAACAGCACTGGCTACTCTTGCAGAGGACCTGGGTTCAAATCCCAACACCCACCAGGTGGCTAAGAACCATCTGTTAACTCCAGTTCCAGGGGATCCAATGCCCTCCTCTGACCTCCTCAGGCATTGCATGTGCGGTGCACTTATATACATGGAGAACAATACACTCATACACATAAAGTATGAATAATAGAAATTATATGAAAATCAGTCAAGCTTTACTGTTGCTAATAACTCAAAGATGATTTGTCAGCTCATACTTCAGAATTTGTGTTGATTCATTTTAGTCCAGTTTATGCCTCTAACAGTTGGAACAATCAATATTTATTTGAATAGGACAGACAAGATACCATAATGTATAATAATAATGTATAATATTAAGATAATAATGATGAATAGTAATTTACCAAGCTTATGTTCTCTTAGCCACTTATGTGCTGGTAACTTAACTCTGCTTAACTACTTAAAGTTATACAAGCAGATCTTAAATTTGCACATAATGCTTCCACTTTATTTTGTTTTGGGGGGGGTTCCTGACAGGGTCTCCCTAGTTACAGTCCGCCTAGAAGTCACAACGTGAACCAGGGTGCCCTTGATCTCCCAGAGATCTACCTGTCTCTGACTCTTGAGGGCTGGGATTAAAGGCACATGCCACCACGCCCAGCATCACATTATGTTTTACTAGTTTCTTATTCACTGAGATTAGTTCCACTCTGCAGGGTTTTTTTTTTTTTCTCCCTTTCCATGCATCCTAACCCCTGCCCTAAAAGAGAGTTAAATATTAACTATTTTTCCCACTGAGAATATTTTATACTCATCTATAAAAAGCATTTATATGTTGTTTTGTTACTGTCTGTGCATAGCTCCTAATTCCCTTTGAATTCTTAAGTCCCTAGGGACTGTCTCTAATTTTTGAAAAAAACAAACATTTTATATAAAGCTAAAAATGAATGTGAATGTCTTTTTTTTTTTTTTTTTTTTGGAAACAGTGTATCCCAGGCATGCTTTAAATTTGTAATTCTCTTGCCTCCACAACACAAGTCTTGGGATTACAGATTTGAGCTACAACATCTGAACTACATTGTTGTTGTGTCTTGTATTTTTTGTTTACTTAGGGGAGAAAGGTATCTATTTCATCATACAATTTCAGATTACAGTCTATCACTATGGGAGTTAGGCAGAAACTTAAAATAGCTAATCATCTTATCCACAATGAAGAACAGGGAGAAATGATATGAATACATGGTCACTTGCTGGCTAGAGTCTCACTTTGCAGCCCAGGTACTCTCTGTGTAGACCAAACAGGTCTCCAACTCACAAATACTTACCTGCTTCTGCCTCCTGAGTGCTAGGATTAAAGGCATGTGCCACCATGCCCATCTGGACCACTTCTTAAATCCCTCTATGTTTAGCATAGAAGAAGGTACCTAATGATCTCTGAATAAATGTTTGCAGAATGAGTTCAAATTAGATTTAGTAAGCTGTCTTTGGTTTGCTTCCATAATCATCTCAGACTAGGAATCCCTTGTGAATTCAAATGTTTAATGTTTATAACAGGTTTTCCATGTAGATTTTTCAAGCACAGCAAACAATCCATTGGTTTAAGGCCAAAGGCCTTCTCTTTATTCTATCAACATCCTTTATCTTCACTTTTATCTATCCAGATGCTCAAGTTTAAAAATTTTAAGATCATGCAAGATCTGGGACTTGTCTCATCACCCATCAAATCCTCTTGACCATATTTCTCTGCTAGCCTATTAATGTCACTTAAGAGTTGTGGGGGGAAAAATGAAGAAAAAGAGCTCTATGAAATATACAGTCCTCTACAAATGTTAGCACTCTCCTCAGCTATTATTTTAAACTTCTTCTTTGAAGCCCTTTTATTCAGTTCTCTCTTTTTCTCCTACTGTGTGAATCCCAGGAACGGAACTCAGGTCATCAGGCTTATGCAGTGAGCATTTTTACCCTCTGAGCATCAAGCATCATATTTTTAATACCTATTTCTTCTTTAAAATTTTACTCATATAGTGAATTCTGAGGTTGACTGGGGTATTTGAAAACAAGAAAATAGAAATAATCAGCACTGTAAGCTTTCCATTGTAATATACCTCAACTTTTGATATAGATTCATAAATACACACACATACACACACACAATTTATATATGTGGATTTTAAAAATAAAATTTTACAACTTATTCTGTTACATATCAAATATAAGTATTCTTTGCCACAATATGTTTTCCCATTCTTGGTGTTGGGTAAGGTTAGCACTAACATACATTTGAATGGCATTCCATTATTTAATAAGGATACTCTGAATATAGTTAGCAAAAAGAATTAGTTGATATAACGTTGTCAACCTTTTGCCATGGGAATGTGGTCACTACCCTGGTCAGACACCAATGACTGGTGAGATAAAAAATGAGATGAATGAATAAATATGTAAGAAAAATTAAAATTTATTATTTTACAGCTAGTTCCTTACATATTTAGAAGGAACCCACATAAAATTCTAATGAAATTGAAGTACAAAATGTAGTGGCTTTATATTTCCTGGTTTTCTAAAGATTTTTAAAGTTATGTGTATGGGAGGGAGGGGGGTTACGTGCACAGGAGTGTGGGTAGTGTTGGATCCCCTGGAACTGGATTCAAGCTACCTGTTGTGGGTGCTGGGAATTGAACCTGGGTCCTTTGCAAGAGCGGCAGATGCTCTTAAACACTGAGCTATGTCTCTAGCTCCTATCTTTTATTTTTGTATTCAAAGTCTTGTTAGTATTGGGAGGTGGGTTAAGAGCAAATTAAAATATTTAATTGACATCTCCTTATATACTTAAAAGTAACTTGCATGAAGACTCAATTTAATGAAGTTACAAAGTGTAGGATAGTTTTAGGTTTTCTATCTCTGTATTCAATGTTCTACAACTATTTGAGGGGAAAGTGGTCCTGTCATTTCTATGCTAACATGCATATGCAGACCTATATTTATTAGCAAATGAACCAAGAAATGCTTGACCCAGGTCTATCTTTAAAAACAGGTAATTAATTTTTATAATGACGTCAAAGGAATACTTTAAAAGCCTGTCCTGACAGGCATGGTGGTGCACGCCTTTAATCCCAGCACTGGAGGCAGAGGCAGGCAGACCTCTGCCGTTGAGGCCGGCCAGGTCTACATAGCAAGTGCTAGGCCAGTCAGGGCTATGTAGTGAGACCCTGTCTCAAAACAAACAAAAGCTTGTCCTTAAGTTTCAAGAACTTTTTGGAATTCACTGTTCCTTCTGGCATGGATACCAGTTAAAACTACCAACTAAGATTTTCTGAGACAGTGAACAGGTATTATAAGTTCATTGCAAATTATTGCTCAACAAAAAGAACTTGGGATAATGGTTTAAATGATAAACTTGTTTAATCATAAGAAATGTTTCATGTGGAAGCAACTGCTCCCACATTAAAATTCAAGTATGGACAGACTGACTTTTTTTTTTTCTTTATTTCTGTTATTTTCTTTAAGTGATGCCCTTTGTACCGTGTTGAAAGTTTGGAGATGGGGAGGCAAGTGTGACACATGGACAATTGTACCCTGAAGATCTTCGTTACCTGGAATTATATAATCAAATTTTCTCACATATTCCATTTTGAGTAAAATGTCATTTAAATTTAATTTAAAATTGAAGGGATAAATATCCTATTTACCTCATCTTTAATGATTTTCATGAAAGGAAATATGACTCTCACATTAGTTGCTGTCCTTAAAAGTTGGTAGCATTGATCTACAAAAACTTGTTTTGAAGGATTACATTTAAGTTGTAGTTTACTCCATATGAAAATCAACTCCCTGTAAATGAGAAAAAAAAGAAATTATCAGAAAATACAGCTTATTCAAATACAGATATTAGTTACCTTTCCCTATTTTTATAGTGTCCTAGCTGGGACAGATTAAAAAACATCTGCTTTGGCCTTTAATATCCCACCTGCCAATTTAGAAGCCAATATCATAAACTATTCTCATTCCATTGAGATAGTAAAAATAATTTTTAAAATAAAAGCATATTATAGTACTGATTTTGAAACTGAATACATTATCTTTAAATCATCTGCTTTTCTGCTAGCATGTATTGCTTTAAAGCAGACAAGCTACACCACACTTAAAATATTTTAGAGGTAGATTCTTTTCTAATTCATGGCCAAAACTACTGGATGAACAAGACTTAGAGCAATGGATTCTGAGGTAAAGGCAAAGCATAAGATATTACTGATAAATCTGGATATTGTATTTTAGCAAATTAGCATTCTTACAACCTGCCCTAAAAGTTATGTATAGCATAATCTAAAAGTACTAAAATAACTCATGGAAAATTTTTTTAAAGTGCTTTGTTATGTCTTGTGACTCAGCACATGCAGGAGACATGGGCAACTACTTGCTGATGGTGTTCCTTTCCTCATAGAAGCCAGGGTAGTAAGGCTGTACACAGCAGCATCCTTGGTTTGAGATAAGTCTAAGTGTTTGTATTCCTCTAAGGATCCTTTAGAGGCTGGGATTTCCCATGGAACTTCATGCCTTTGACAGCATGCTGTTCCCAGACTTGGGGCTCCAGAGAGGTATCTGGTGTGCTTCTGGAAAGATCCAGAGCACAATAGTAGATCAAGGTTCACATTGGCCAAATCATCATGTCCATCCACACCAACATACAAAACAAACTGTGTGATGGAGGCAAAGGAAAAGAAACAACCTGAAAGAGGGATAGTAGGGAACAGATGTTACCTGAGGGAGGTAGAAAAAGTGGGAGTAACTGGCAGGGAGATGAGGAGAGAGGGACATGTAAGGGACCACAAGTAGAGGAGCGAGGGAAGTCAGGAAAGGAAAGATGGCAGGAGTCTGGATGTATTGGGTGGAGGGTGGGGATAATGGGGGCACTGTGACTAGGAAGGGAGAGAGGAGGGAGGCTAGATGGGAGAAAAAAGAATAGAGATGAGTGTATCTTCGGGGGGTCTAGGAAACCCAGAGGGAAAAGTGATGCCCTAGAAACTCTATGAGGAATGCACGTAGAGTATCTGAATATTAATGCTACGTATACCTAGGAGCTGCTTGGTATGGAACGCAGTGCCATATAGAAGAGACCTCCCTTAAAGCAACAAACATGCCATACAGCACTCATCAAAGAAGTTTCTTTTTGCAACAGATGGAGGCTACTGCAGAGATGCATATCTGGTCAGGCACAGAGAACATACACCTGGGAGATGCCCAGTACTAGGTGACACATCTGCAGTTGAATCTCTACAACCAAGGCTCATGGAACATAGAGGAATAAGGGGTAGAGAGCAAGGGCTAATGTACCCCTCAACTCTCACCAGTGAGGCTTCCATGTACATCATGTACAGAAGGCCACAACTGGACAAATTCTGGAGAATAAGAGACTGTAGAGTGTAGGATGGGACTCCTATATGGAACCTCACCCACCCACGGCTCAGGGACCACTGCAGAAGAGACAGTGGAAAGACTGTAAAAGCCAGGGCTGGTTCATGAACATGACGTGGAGGCCTCCAGGCCACTGGAGGCTTGTTCATGTGAGCCTGCAGCAGCAGTAGCATTGAACATGGGACCCATGTCAGCTCAATTAAACAAGGGCTCAAAGGGGAGGTGAGAAATAGGTGGTGGGCCAGCACTAGACTATTTGAGACTGATTGCTGCTGGGTGAGGGAGATTATGACATACATAAGACCACTGATGGGCTGACTAGTCTCCAGTGGACACATTTACACTGAAGAACATTTGGGTACAAACACCTGAATGAATAGGACTCAGCATGTATGGTAGAGTGCATATGGTTTGGTGGGGGAATGGGGGAGGCTTGGATGGGGAGGGGTCTGGATTTGAGTGGGCAATGTTGCATGAAATTTTGAAAGCTCAATATAAATAAATATATAAAAATAAAAAAAAAATAAAACGTGAATGAGATAAGGGCCACGTCCAAGTTCTCTGGTTGCTAGAACATCTATATCTTGAATAAGCAGGATTTTTCCCAGTTAATATGGATAAATCTGAAGACATGATGGCTGAGAAACAGCTCATTCTGCATGGCTATGGAGTCAGCTATATTTCTAATCATGGTATCCCAGGCTGGCTCTACACTTATAAGGGATTCTACCTTGCAGCCTACTCCTTTATCATTTCCACCAACAAATCCTACTTCCTGTGCATAAACAAACAACATCCTGCACCGCAAAGAGCTTGACTACCATTATGAAGGGTGTGGTTACTCAAGAGAGATGATACAGAGAACACAAAACAGAAAGCGAAAGCAAGCAACATATACAAAATAAAACCAAATTCAGCCTCTATTTCACACTAGCTGTGTGGAGTGCCTTACATTTCTATCTGTCAAACTTGAGGGTTGTTGTGAGTTGTCTGTTTATGATATATATTGGAGTATTCTCTTTCCCCTCAAATTTCTTAGTTCTGACTTCTTTCTAAAATTTCATGGCTGGGTATTTTTATTTGAATTTCTTTTCATCAAATTAACTCACTTAGAACTAATCATAATTTTGTACAATTATCTTTTTCTAGATCAACCAGTGACATTGCCTATTCCTGTTAGATCCTTAACTATTTTCCGTGTCTTTATATTCTGTTTATTCTTTTTGCTCTCAGCCACGTCACTCTTTCTTGATGCTTACCTTAGGCCTTTTAATTTTACAAGTATATTTCTACAGTGGTTGCTAACATGATCCATTTCCAGTTTTCTTGATGAGCTTACAAACATGGCTTTTAAAGTGAGGATTAATCTCCTTGTCAGTAAGAGTGCCTCCTTTATTCACTTTTTTTAATGCCAATTTCTGTACTTGGAAAGCATGTCATTATTTCACATGAGTTTATTTCTCAAAGGCCATTGCTAGTGTCTGTATGAATACCCCAAATAAAGTTTAGAATAGATCTGATCTCTTTCATCCTTGGGATGAAAGGTATGAATGGAATATACCTTTCATATACTGCCATGTGTATATTTTAGAGATCTCATTTCCCAACTACTGCTACATGTAAATTTCAATAACACTGTACAATAGAGACAGTGAAATGAAGAGAGATGGATCTTATACACTATTTGGAATGGTAGTATCCAGTTCATAATGAGTCATACTTTTCTGGGGACAGAAGATGTGGATTATGTATTAACTCTGGAGTGGGAAAATGGCCACAGGCCAGAGTCCCTGCGATGTCCTCAAATCTGAACTATGAAACTTGGGATACTTTTTTGCTATTCTGAAGCAGGAAAGACTGAAGCCAAATGAGGGAGAAAGTAGATTTTTGGAAAGTATTAGCAATCTCAGTGTTCCTGGCAGCAGCGATCATTTAAAACCAATTGTGTGGCTCTTCCTGCAGACCATATCACATCCCATTATGCTTCCAGGAAGCATTATCTTTTTCCATCACTAGACACAGAGGCTATTACTTGCAAACTGACCAGTATACATTCTAACTAGATTTTTGTACTAGATGTGTGACTTTAATTTCTTTAACCTACAATTTTCTTACATGTAAACTTTGAGATTATTCCTATTCAACATCTTTTTTTTCTTTGTTTTGCTTTTCTGGTGCTGAGAGTTGAACCCAGGGCCACGTGCACATTAGACAATTATTATGCTATTCACTGAGCTATGTCCCTGTCCTTAAATGTAATTCGAATATTGTGAAGAAGAAAAAAAAATTTGGAGATGAACTGATGACATCACTGATTTTCTAAGTTATTGAAAAGAACATTACTAGAGAGAGAGAGAGCTATTGATGTTGATGTACTTAAAAAGCCAATATGTACCTATTCAGTATCTTTATTAAAAGAATTGAAGGACAAATGAAATACCGAAATGTCTGTCATATCCTGAAGTTTAATAAATCACTAGTTTCCGCACTTAATCTACATGCAGGCAATACACACATACACATAAAATAAAAATAAATAAAATTAAAAAAATAAATCACTAGTTTCTACATACATACTTTGTCTACATGATCTTCATGGTACCAAGCAAAATCATTTATTCAATAAATTTTTGTTAGCTGATTATCTGGGGTGGTGGCCGGGGATAACATATTCTTAAGTGTTAAAACCTCTTAAGGGAATATAGTAAGATAAACTGTACACATGAAATGAGAAAAAAGATGATGGGGGACATTCTAAATAAGGAGTATTTTATGAGAAAAGGGATATAGAGGAAAAAAGCAAATAGATCAATTATACTTAAGAGCATATGGTCTAACTCTGCAACAGATTTTAAAACAAAATGATAGTTGGAAACCACAAGAGAGATATTCCATTTAACATTACACAAATGAACACATTACAAATGTATATGTATATTAATTTCTAAACTTGATCCAAAAAGTAATTTGAGACTTCTTATAGACATTCTTTGGACACACATTTTTTTTTTTATTCTTTGTGTTAAATCAAGAGGAAACCTGGTAAACAAAATATATATCCATCACAAGATTCTAATTGTTTGCCAGGAGAATTACCAGATGGGTTTTAGCTTTCTAGCAGGGAAAGCAGAAATCTCAGAATATCATTATAAACTCCATTTTGGATGATTTTACAAAATGAGATCTCGGGTTTTACGTGTACAATGGATTTGGAAAGAAAACAAAACACAAATAAGAAAGACCACTATGAAAACTTTATTTAAAGTCCAAAAGAACAAGCTAAATGAAGCCTTCCAAAGGAAGAGAACACCTCCTTTCTGGTTAGGCAGCCAGTCACATACTTGCATCTATTATTTTCTTAAAATATTTAAAAAGAATTTTATTATGTTATTTTTTATTTTGTGTGTGGATGTGAACATGCCAGGGCAAATGGGTAGATACAGAAAACAACTTGTGGGTCACTTCTCTCCTTCCACCATGTGGGTCCTGGAAGTCAAACTCAAGTTGTCAACTTGGCAACAGGTGCCTTTACCCACTGAGCCATCAGATCAATCCTATTTTATTTGTAGGGGAGTTATGTGTGTTTGGGGTGGGGAGGGGGCGGGTCAGCCTTTAAGAACCAGCAGTGCTCTTGCAAATGACCTAAGCTCACTTCCCAGCATCTACATGGGGCAGCTCACAAATGCCTGTAACTCCAGCTACACAGGATATGTACTTTACCATTCCTTCCTTATCCCTTCCATTATCTGCAATTCCAACTGACAGGGCACACTTTTTAATAAAAATTAATATAATCTAGTTAAAAGTATACTCCTCCTAGCGGGGTGTGGTGGTACACAACTTTTAATCCCAGCAGTAGGGGAGGCAGAGGCTGGTAGATTTCTGTAAGTTGCAAGGCAGCCTGATCTACATAGCAAGTTCCAGTCTAACCAGGGCTACCTGAAATCCTGTCTCAGGGGAAAAAAGTATACTCCCTTAGGAGACAAGGGTACTTGCTTCTAGATACAGTTCTACTGTCTAGCTATCTGAGTCTATTTCTGAGCCTGAATACTTGTATCTATAAAAGAAGAATGTTCAAATATGATTTGGAGCTATATACCTTTATACTATTGTTTTTGGTGGGTGGAAGAGTGGACAGTGCAGGCTAGCCTAGTATTCACAATTTTCCTGCTTCTGCTTCCCCAGGGCTATAATTAAAGACATGTGCTAGTATGTCCAACTCAAGGTAGTCACTTGCAACTTTAAAATTCAAAAGCATTAACTAATAAATGTTCATAGTTCTTGATCACTTCAAATGATTACATTTAATAAATAAAACTTAGATTTTCATTAATAATTAATGAAATGGCAAAGTGGTAGGATATTTGTGTGTGTGTGTGTGTG